AACAATAATAATAATAATAATAATAATAATAATAATAATAATAATAATAATAATAATAATAATAATAATAATAATAATAATAATAATAATAATAATAATTACCCGATTCTTTTTTTAGGCCTAGTGCAGAAACATGACATCCCTCCATCCTCCCAGTCCCATGCCTGTATTTCAGCGGTTTCTCATCTCTTTTTTCACTGGTTTTACTCCCCTCTTCCTCCCCTCCTCCTCTCCATTCAGTCCAGTTGAGTCGTCTGATAGGGGCATGAGGCGCCAGGTTTTCCCCTGAGGGAGGCGAAGAGTCAAGGACTGAACCCTCCAAATGCAGAATAATGTAATCCTACACTCTCAACAAAAAGGGTTCCACGTACATGACGGTTCTTTATGGGTTCTGTGATTTGTAGCAGAACACTGGTGGCGCTGCACTCTACATGCTGATGTTGTTTCTTGAGTCGCTGAGTCTTGTTTGTCTACACTCGATAAAAGGCTCAACACCATGAAGGTTGATGGCTACAGCAACACGAGGAGGGTCACTAGTGATTATAGGTGTAGTTCCTATGGCAGAAAATGGGATTTTGAATTTTGAAAACTGGGCATGTGGCGAAATCAGTGCTCAGCAAAAAACCCCAACACAACCTGCAGATTGCAAACATAACTTAACGATATTACCAAAACAGAAAATGAAAGTGATTTTCGTGTGAGTAAACAACCCTGGCTGCCAAAAGTAAAACCTGTCACTGTCTGGAACCAGTGAAAAGCTTGAACAATCTAATACTGTAGAGGTTCAATTTTACTAAGTAGAATGATTGTTTTATATTTCTAAAAAAACAACAACAACAACAAAGACAACAACTTTATAGCTCTTAGCTTTAATAGAGACATATTTAATTCAGTTAGATATCCTGGAAAATAAATGTAAGAAAATATAAGCAGTTGCATTCATCTACTTTGATTAATACTTCTGTCACAGCTCATGGAGCCAAGAGGACTTCTCAGTTCATGCATTTTATATTAAAAAAAATACCTTAATATGTACCATCTTTTAGACAGTAAAGTCAATACGTTATAATTTTCCATGTATCAAGTGGGCATGAGTGCAAAAACAAGTCCACAGAAAACCTGAAATATTTTTCTATGAAATTCTTCTGCTTCTCTGTTTCTATGAGGCTCCTGTAAGTGTTTGGAAAAAAGCACAAGTACATTACCCTCTTCAAGCCTGAATTCTACACCTTCAGTACCGTCTGCGGATCACAGCATAGTTATTGCACCACAGTTTTGTAACTGGAGAGTGACATGATTCAGGATTCTATGGGTATATCCTATTCTTGTGGCTTTTTGCTTCTTCTTTTATGTCCAAAGACTTTGACTCAAGACACCAGGGTTTGTGCCCCATGTGGAACCAATATTTTTACACTTTGTTTCCTAAGATTTAACAACTTATTTTTACTTTTCAGTTTTTGGCTGCATTAAGGCACTATAATTAATAGCTATATTTTGAAAAAAAATCTTAGACTTACTTACAGACATTTTTACATAATTCCACATTTTTGGAAACCTTTATTTTCAAGGTTACCAGTGTGACGAGCTCGAAATTGGTGCAGACATGCAAGATTTCAACAAGTTCCATTAGCGTATTTCCATACTTCCCATCCACTGTCTATTTAGTCATGCAAGGCAATGCTTTCAGAGAGACTGATTATTAAGTTAACTGATACTTAATTCCATACAGTCAAAGTCAAGCCTGAGGTCAAGGATAAGTGGTGTCAGGTCAGATTTGCTACCCTTTGGAAACTCACACAAAACTGTCAAACGAACTATTTTTGATCTAAAATGAAAAGAGATGGAACAGCACAAGGCTAACCTCTTGTTTCTTGTCTTCAGAAACCCATTTCTTTAAACTATTTCTAGATAGGAAGTTGTCATATCAAAGAAGGTTTTCAAATATCCGACCATGTTGGTGTGGTTTAAAATTTGTGGGCACACAGCAGCCAAGTGTTAGCAGGCATTTGTCCAAGAACGTACCTACGCACAAGTAACTTTTACTTTGAATGTACTCTGGGCTGAAAAAGATCAATTTCTGTCCATGTATACACAAATTTGTATACTTTGAATTGCAATAAAACAAGGCTCCTGGCAGCACAAAATACTCTAGCTGTTATATATTTCTAGATACTTTCAGAGATCATTAAGGTGCTAGCATTGAGGCCAAATATGATTTTTGTGCAGGTGTCCATTTATTTATCTCTCTACCTGGAGAAAAGATATACTTGTATTAAGTAACTGTGAAAAGGCTTTTGTAGAAGAACTCATGTTCTTCTCACAGACAACAAAACGTGCCGTGGTAATGCTATGTGTTTCCAATAAACATGTGGTATTGAACTTTTGAGTTTATTAAAATTCATGGGTATTTTATAATGATATTTTTAGGTCTTTGGAACAGTGCATTTTAATTTTTAACTTGATGCATGGATGAGTCCTTTAACAGTTGGACTTTGTTATTTTTTCTAGGTGTGTCTCCTCTGAATTTCAACCTAATAGCAACAGAGAACCAAACAAAACTGGGAAGAGAAGAGCATATAACTTGGCAGGTAGACATCCATTATGAGATGCCTGTGTTTGTCCTTAGTGAATTTTTCCTGTGTTAACTGCAGGTTTTTTGTGTGTGGTGTCAACTAGGCAGGAAGATGTTCACATTTATCAACGTGCTCTCTAATTTTTCTTAGTTTTGTTGTTTTTTGTTGTTTTATGGAAAAATGAAGTCAACTTTAAGTGAATGGAGGGGTGTGGGTGGGGTTCTTCCTGTACAAAAAATCCATGGACAGTAAAAAAATTCATAGCACAATCTAAAGATACAAAGCCAGTGATACAAAATAATATTATTACAGAGAGTGAATCCTCCAGGCCACTTTTAAGAAAACAATATTTTACTCGAGTATTTCCATTCATTTCAGGGGGAAACGGTGAACTTTGCTGAAAGTTTTGTTGATGATTCACTGGGTAAAATTATACTTTTTTTTTTTTATTTAAGTAACATTGTGTCCAGTATTTAACCTTAAGCTTTTTCTGTTTGGTGACTTGGCTATTTTGTCTTGTATTCCTTTCTTATCAACGTTCTGTTAATAAAACCCCTCAAGGATTACATATAAATAATAACTTAGAATAGGCCTGAACTGTGATCCCCTCAGTGCTGGAGAATTAGGCCAAATCCAGATTTATGACTGGCTGAAATGTATTGGAAAACGTTGAACACTTGCAGCACGGAAAGCTGGTTCGCATGCATCTTAAAGCATTATGTGAAAGATTACCTGTAACTAAAGTATACCGCTAGTTGTATATTATTATGAATTTGTAAGCCCAGAAGGAGATCTATACGGTCCTCTCCCAAAGCCCGAGCATCCTTTGGCTCTTTGCTTATACGTAACTTTGCCATTTGCGTCTTTTTTTTTTTATCATCCTCTTCTGTTCATTTTAATTTGGTGTGCAGCTCCCTCAGTCCCCCAAATGAGAGCTAAATCGGCCTATAGGTCACTAATATATCGGGGAGGCAACTGTGACAAATTCCTTTTGTCTCCGCTTTGCTGGTACTTTATTACCCAGACGAGCAACATGGCCTGGAGATAACGATTCATCACGCACAGCCGGCAACCATAGACAACGCCTTTGGGCAAAGTCAGCAAGGGGCTTTCATATTAAGAGAGAGTAGAGAGCATGCGTGCATGCGCACGTGTGTTTGTGTGTGTTGGTGTGTGTTGGTGTGTGTGTGTGTGTGTGTTGTGTGTATGGTGTGTGTGTGTGTGTGTGTGTGTGTGGTGTGTGCGTGTGTGGGTGTGTGGGGGGGGGTATCTTAATTGGCTATGGGGTTTTATTGCATTAGTAAAACTGCTGATTGCAAACCTGCACAGCATCATGTTGAGTTTACGTTTAAAACCTATAGATAAACCTCCTATGGGCCTATTATAGATTTTTATAATGACAAAACAAGTTCAGGGATTTTTATTCAAAAATCTACAATAATTTAAGACGTTCTGCAGGTGTAGCACATTGGAAGAAAAAACAGTCTCTTTTGGAAAACTGGGTAATTGCCACCGCAGATTCGCAGACTGGGAGATATATATATAAGTGGGAAGTGTGGCCAGAGGAAGATATTTTAACTCGCACTTGAAGCTAGAGAGAATATGGAGTCCACAGAGAACAGTCCCAACAGTGTTTCACAATGCGCTATGTCAGACGAACATATGCGTCTATAAGATTTAGCAAGATATGGCTCAAAACCTGGTGCTTTGGATGTCAAAAGAAAATAAAATCCAGAGAATTTAAAAAAAATAAAAATAACCATTTAATGGATTGAAAATAATATAAAAGGTATACAAGTAGAAGGAAACCCTGCTACAGGTCACAGGATAAGAAGTTGCTCGATCCATCTAAAGAGTCCCAAACTACACATTAGACATCAGATAAGTTTTAAAACCCCATCTTAACTCCCTGGTGTCTCATTATAATACGTTCATTTTACACGAGAGCTAATCATGGTGTGCAGTCTAAATTGTTGAGAATAATGAAACAAGACGCTTGGTGTCCTATTGAGCAGGCTCAGGTTGTCAAGCTCAATAAAGAGATCTCAGATATTACACCTACATTAGAGGTTTACACTTTAACTCTTTTGTTTAACATGATTATGTCTCTTAAAATCCTTCGGAAATGAGATGTCAAATAATCAATATAAATGTAAATGCTACTAATACTACTACTAATTACTATTATTATTATGATCTAATCGGAATATGCGATCTAACAGCTTCCCTCAGATCCCTCAAATCCCAAATGTTTTAGATTATAATCACTCAGAATTTGTGATAGGACGCATTCATCTAACGCTGACCCCACACACAAGTTGATCATCCTTTTAAAAGTCTGAATCTACATTACAGTGTTGCACAACAATAGAGCAGTCGGCAATTTTAGATACAGTTCTGTAAATCGTGCATCAGTACATCAGATTTTCTATTTACTGGACATGGAAAAAATGGGATTCCCTGCATGCTCTGTATCCAAAAAGAAAAAAAAATGTCACTTAAGGTGACGCCCAATCAGACATCACATCACAGCTGCTGACATCACCAACAGGGAGAGATGTGTTACCCCAAAGTGGCTTGCAAACATTATTTTCCGCCTTCCTGCCCATAGATCTTCCTGGTTTTGCATAAACGGCCAATTACCTTGTCAGTAAGCTGATCCGAGTCTCAGTGCATCCTCCCGTCCCTATTCATTTTATTGTAACGCACAAATATAAACAGGCCTAATAGCAGCTACACTCGCACCGGTCTCGTCCCGCACCGTTATTGATATGGCCTCGAATTCACACAATTGATTTTTATGCTTCCCTCTAGCCACCTTGTGCAGTTGAGAGATATCTTTATTCGCACAGAAAGTGAAATAAGTGCGTAATAAAACGGTGATATATTAAATTCGTTTTTCCCCGTGTCGCGCTTTTATTATGAGCCATTTTTCATTTTTATTGAATTGAGACCCGACTGATCCACGTCGTCGCTCCGGGCGGGGAAAGGTTAAATAATTTGTGCAAATCAGAAACGCCGCTTTTCACATTTGGCTTCTTGATATCTGTCCATCTGCTATTTATTTGTTTAATTCTATCTATCTATCTATCTATCTATCTATCTATCTATCTATCTATCTATCTATCTATCTATCTATCTATCTATCTATCTATCTATCTATCTATCT